AAGCTGAAAATTACTTATAATTTATTCTATATTAAAGTGCCATTGGAATAATATTTTTGGTGACTTTCACTTTGTACAAAACTGAGAGAGATTGATCTTGATCTGTTTAAAATGAAAACAGATTGTGGCCATGGGGGGTTACTTGGCCCAGCCTACCATGGTGGAGGATGCTGCAGTGTGTGAGGACTGAGTTCTAGCTCATCCGCCATTGCTGCTGCTTGGCTGAGCCACTTGACTGGCTTTTGAAGTTTTTACCTTCCCTGTTTCTATCTGTTACTTTTGTATATTAGCAATTTAGGGAAAATACCATATTTGGATATGTGCATGGGTCTCTCTCTACATCTGTCTGCATGTGTGTTTCTTGCTGGTATTAAATTTTATACTACCTATAACCGAGCAGTTTAACAGCCTGCCTTGGGTTTGTATTTAATTTTTTTTCTGTCTTGAAAATCTTTTTACTTTATTCTATTATCTTAATAAAGGGCACACTCCTCATTCTTGTAATTCTCATAATGCCTCCAAAGCAGAGAGAGAGGATGAAATCTATTGTGGCATCTAGGACTTTGATAGGTAGCATAAGGAAAACATCCATTGTACTACACTCCCTGCCACGATCCCCTCTTGCTGTTATGGTCAAAGAGGCAGTTCAATTAAGGTCTAATTTGACACACATTGAAATCAAGAAAAGTCTTTCCACTGACTCCAATGTATTTGGATCAGGCCCTTAGTGGACAAGATTTCTGTAACTACAGATCTTTGGCCCAGAGCTACAAAGCTGTTTAAACCCCAGACATCCCTGGTGAATGCTCTGACCACCGGACTAAAAGTTATAAGATGGACACCATCAAGTCTTTTTGTGGCCATTTTGTGTGGAGTGAGGGAGGCACCTAATTTATTCTTGCAAGAAACTACCTAGGTGCGTAAGCCGCCTGACTCCAGGAGATGGGTTCCCTATTAACGGATCACTATGCAGAGAAAGGTGCCTCCCTACAGCCCAGACTTTGGCACCTGTTTCCATAAGGGGGCAGGGCTTAGCATACACCACTGTTGTCAACATCTCCCATTGGCTAGTCCCACCTAACATGTTGGCTTTTATTGACTACATTTTAAGGCACCTATCTCTCCACATTCATTGTATAGGGATCTTAGATTTCTAATTCAGGTTTTGTGAATAGTAGTGTTGTTCCTGTAATTTTCTAGGCATCTAAAAGTTAGGCCCTGCGACACTCTATGTTGCAATACTTAAATTCCTTTGTGGATCTGGTCCTTGGTTTTCCATTTTAACATGGAGTCAAGCCCTGCTATCCTTGGCGGTCCTTTCCCAAGCATAATTCGCAATGTAATAGAAACTTCTGTATTCCTTAATATGCAACCCAGATTTTTAACATCTTACACAAACGGTAGTTTGAAGTAATGGCCTAGAACATTGTAATGCTTTAGTAGCATCAAAGAACTGAAGACCTCTGATGGTGGTGTAATGGGTCCAACTTTCACTTTCTCATCTCATATTGGAGAAGACATTTGCAATGATCTTTTACAATAATCAGTTTGCTCTCTGGTCAAGGTATGACTTGAACACAAAATTTTTAGTATCTAAAACTGACTTCATATCCCGAGATACAAGCTTAAAATAACTATTCAAGAACTATTATTTATGTTGAGCATCATGGTTGAAATCCTGGCCCTATTAAATGAAATGAGAATTTTGCCACTGACTTCAGTGGGATCAGGATTTCACCCTAGGACTATAGCTATATCTATGCAGAGCTCACACGGGAGTTGCAGCAGCAGAGCATCAATATGAGAATTCCTCTCAGCATGGAGAAGTGTGCAGCCATCACCATGTGGAAGCTCATGAGTGGCTAGCCAGTTTGGTGTTGGTAAATAAAAGCTGTTGTCATGGAGACATGAGTTGCTATTGAGAGGGTACTGTCATAAAGCTTGGCAATGCGCAGGAGGTTACTGACAGCTTTGAACACCTGGCGTTTCCACATTGTATAGGGGCCACTGATGAGATCCTATTATCTATCCCACCACCACGCTTCAGAGTTCATCAGCAGAAAGGAATATTTCTCCATGAGCATGCAAAACCTGATTGATCTCCATTCTTGCAATAGCCACCAACTTGTCTGTGATGTTCCATCTTTTTTTGCTTCCTTCCTGCACCAAAATTATGAGTTCAAATATAGAAGAAGCAGAGACAGTAGGAAAATGAGAGTGGACTGTCCAGAGGTAACTTTTGCATTGCAGGAATGGCACATCAGAAAAAAATGTTTTAAAAACTGCCTCCTTCTCCTTTGGAATTTGAGTGAGACCCATCAGAGATTTCAAATGTTTGAATAATTCCTAGCCAGTCACATTCTTTCAGATATCTTTACACATAGGAGAATGCTTTCCCACAATATAGGGAACTTTTTCTTGTCAACCTTGTTTTCCCCTTTTAAATTTTTATTACTGGACCCCCTGCCAACATAGTAATAAGTCAGCTGAACATGAACGCACCAGTTTACACTCTAAATTATAGTGGAGAAAACCTATTCCACCTTTACTCTTTGCAGTTTACTCTAGTTTACAGCTAATTTAATGTTTAACTCCATTGCAGTACATCTGGTACTTAATGATAACAGCATCTGTTGCAGTACTAGGGATACCTTGGTATAGCAGTGATTGGGCTATTGGGAAGATGGGTGTTAATATCATTATTTCATCTAAGTATCTTAGTTCAGTCTGCCTTCACCATGCTTACAGGAATACTTAAATTGGCAACACCACTTGCAGGCAGTGAAAGAAGTTATGTGCCAGTGAAAATGCCCTTATTCAAAATCAAATTGGATATGCATAGTAATTCTCTTAAGTGTTCAACTGTGTTGTGGATTATCAGATAAATTAATTATCCAACTCCATTGCCAAGTTTATTTTCTGATTAGATTCATGAGCATGGTCCCCACAGTGATGCAGACCAAGAGAATTAAACCAAAGAATATTTGGCACAGTTATATAAATGAAAATCTAAGACATTTTGGAACTTCCTCAAAGTTGTCAAAAGGCTTCCATGAAAACATAATCTGATTTCAGTGGGATTACTTAAATGCTTAAATTAAGTACATGTGTTTGCAGGAATGGGGCCTATTTTAAAATAAGACCAACAGAAGCAGGAGAGGGAACTCAGAGAGGGAAAAGGGTATGATGAGGGTGAGAACAATGTGATTATGCAATCAGTGGGGAGGTTAGTGCATGCATCCTGAAAGTGAATTTTGTTTATATTCATTTGTTCATTTTATTAAAGCCATAGCTGTAACCTTAAAACAGTAAGTTTTGAGAGAGACTTCAAGCAGGAGAAGGTGGAGCTGTGGCAGAAAAGATCAATAAAACTTCTATGTACTTATTTTCAGTATTTAGTATGATAATTTAAGCAGATTTCAAACATTACAAAATTGATTAATTAATTGTTGCTGTTGGTTGTTGTTATTATTATTTGCAGCAGCATAGTCTGGCAGACAAAGATTGGTCTGAGTAACAGGAACTCCTGACTTTGAATTCAGTCTCTGGCACTGATTTGCTCTGTGGCAGTAGGCATGTGATATAAACTTGCTGCTTCAGGTTCCTGGACTGTAAAATGGTAATATTATACTTACCTGCCATTCAGAAGATTAATTATTTAAGGTTGTGTATATCTCTGAATTATACTAAGTGTTACTGTTTGAATATTAAAATATGAAAAACCTACATTACATTAACATTGACAAAAACAAACGGGTCAGCCCTATTGTAACTAGTGACTGTAATACACCAGGATACAGCAGAGGACAATGCAATAAAAAAGCAATGCTATACCACTGAAAAAAATGTTAGGGTACAAGCCTGGGTAACTTTAATCGTGAGAAAAGTGTAGTCACCTTATTGTCTTAATAGTTATAGAACTGAATTTATAATGAAAATGAGGGAAGCAGCCACTCCAACTGCGCATTAGCGATTAATGACAGGGGCTCTGAGCCTGATCACACACGCATTTCTTTAAGTTTATGCACCTGATTAGTTCCACTGACACCAGTGGGGCAGCCCCCTTGGGAAATGTTATGCGCCTGGCAGATCCACGACCCCGTTATCGATGACAGACACACGAAAGAGCAGCCAGGCTGTGAACTGTTACTGGGCCTTTCCAAACCCTAACAAATTAAGCTTTTTTTCTGGGTAAAGGGGTATGTGAGTATATTAGAGCAGGGTAAATTTCTACCCTCCGAACAAAACCCCTCGCGTTCGTCAATTAATTTTACGGTGCTGCGCGTGGTAGGTGGTTCCGGTGCCTTTCCCACGACCTAACAGCGAAGATTAGCCAGGCCGGATTAGAACCTGGCACCCCCTCCTTTCCTGGGCAGCTGCGCTAATCAATGCGCCACCCAGTCAACCGGCCAAACAGCCTCTTCTTGGCATTCGAGGCGAGCGCGCGCCCCTCCTAGCGCTTGCGCGTTCACGAGGAAGGCGGCGTGCGTCTGTCCGGGGTCCGGCACCGTTTTACATCCGGGTCCCGCAACTCCTCCCTCTCCCGCCGCCGCTCTGGGCGCTTCGGGGGCCGCCCCCCCACCGGCTGGCCGGCGCCGGGCGCTCCAATGAGAGCGGCTGCCTCTCCCTGCCTCGCGGAGCCAGGCGGCGCCGGCCGGAGCCCGAGTCCCGGCCCTGCGTGGGCGAGTCCGGCCAGCAGGCGAGGATGATGCCGGCTCTGGCCGCCCAGAGGCGGGGATGGCGCTGCCTCTACCGGCTGTACCTGCGGTGCCAGGCGGCGCAGCTCAGCCGGGTCTGCCACGGTGAGTGGGGGCTGGCGGGGAAGCCGGGCCCTCCAGCCGCCTTTCCCCGGCTGCCGCCCACTTTGCCCAGACCCACTGATGACACGGCTCTCCTAGGGCGCCTCCCACCCCCCCACCTTACCCCTCCTACACGGCCACGCTGCCAGACCCTCAGCGTAGCCTCCCCCTGTGATCTGGGCTCCCCGCAGTCCCCCTCATACAGTGCCGCCCCAAAGCCCCCCATATCTTATCCCATATTCTATTTCCAAAATCCCCTTAAAACCTTCTGTCTCTCCCACTCCATGATCCATCATATTCCCACAATTTGCCAAAACCTGGTGCTCTTCAATTACACTCCCATATTCCCGTTTGTTCCTTATCCTCACCACTTCAATGCTCCTCTCACCAGCTCGGCGTCTCTCCAAGGTCCCATCATAATTCATATTTCATAGCCCTTAGCCTGTCTCACTTTTTGTCTGTCCACTGTGCTAAAGGGAGCACCCCCAATGTTTTCTCATCTTGACCTCTGTCATTTAAAAATTGCCTGTTTGCTGTGTTGCAAATAGCCTCTCCCACCTATTCCCTGTTGAAATTGACTGAAGTAATCAGTGTGGGATGAGGCAAAAAGTGGACAATAAAAGTACTGGATAATAAACTGGAGGAAACAGTCCTGCACTGAATGTTAAGGGGGATAAACTAATGTGACTTAAGAGGTCTTTTTTGTATCTGAACTTCTATGAAAAGGAAGTAGTTGAGTAAATTTCATGACGACTTCCTGTAGATCAGGTTCTTAATCATTGTGATGTCTAGGGCCACATTGGCAACTTGCGGAAACCCAATATTTTTAATAAAAATTCATTTATATATTTTCTTGTATGATGGGCAGAAGTTTCAGAAATTGCTTGTCCTTTGAGTTCACTAGCAATAAAAACCTGCAGCTGGTCAGTTTTATGATCATGTCGTAGTGGGAGAAGAGCTTCTTTGGGTATGCCTACGTAGCATTTTAGGGCGATCCTCCCAACCCTGGTCAATAGCGCTAGCTCTAAATATAGCACTTTGAACTAGTTAGTTTCTTGCGTTTGTAGAATCCATATAATTCTTTTCATATAGCTGTTTTCTCCAAAACACATGCTGTACTGCTGTTTTATATAAAAGCTGCCTAGGACTCTTGAGTAAACTTTCCAGTGTATATCACAGACAGTTTCTGAAAATAAACACAATAGTTTGAAGCAAGAATGTAATGGCTGAATTATTTTAGTCCGTTATCAAGAGGTTTCCTCTTTGAATGTGAAATGTAGATACATTCAAAATACAGTTGGGTTTAAAAGCATGCATTTGTCAAGTACCATAAAGTGTTGTTTCTGTAATTTCTTAATTTATTAGACATGTGTTTAGCAGAGCATATTGAACATTGGCATGGTATTTAAAGGCCTTTTGTTATCTGAATCACTTTGACATTAATGTAACTTACGTATATTTTGTGTACAGTACCTTTATATTCAGATGTATCTGTTCTAGCTGTAGTGGAACATAATGTATGTAAAAAGCTGTAAGGAATTTTTATGGAGCGCATGCTTTTACCAAACAATCTCTATGATTGTGTTGTGAGATGACTTGTGTAATAATAATGTAGTCCTCTGTTTAATGTCCAGTTATATGCAATGCAAGTAAGATAAGCAGTACTTGATTTTATAAGTATTTCCCAAAGACACCACACCAGTTCTTTTTTTTTTTTTTTTAAAATAGGTGGTTGCATTTCAATGGTGGATGAAGTTATGTTTGCAGAGAAGATATATGCATTTTATGTGTCGATGCTTTGCTTGCTTATGTTGCTTAACAGAAGTTGGCTGCTAATGCTGATGGACCAGAACTGTGTTCAGTAAATTTGGTATACTGTGGGACAGTCTTTTAACACTAGCAATTGCCTGGTAAAGGTGGTGTCTCTGCAAACACAGAGAAAATGTTTGTGTGTAATATTTATATATCACACTGTAAATCACACTTTAATTGTGGCTTATATGTTGTGGGTTGAGATATTACACCTGAATTGCAGACATCTATTACATATTTAGTCCATTAAAATATTTGTTTTTGGGTGTAGGGAGTGGAATTAAAGGACAAAACTGTTAGGATTATCTTGCTAATAGTTTTGCAGTGTATGCCATTGTCATTCTACTGTAATATCCTCTCTGACTGCCAAGTATTTTGGTCATTATAAAGATGGTTTTGTGCAGAGGGTGATTAAAATAGGGTTTATTCGAGCAGTAAGACAATCTTAAAGTAGCTTTCTGTTAGATAACTAAGAAACTCTCATGCAGTGTTTCAAAGGACTAGGATATGTGAGAAATTTAGCAAAACATATGAAAGTATATTTGTGTGTTAAAATGCTTGAGGAGAAGACAGGAGAAGCTTGGGAAATTGGTGAAAGGACTAGTTTTAGCTGTGTAGAGTTTACGAAATTCGAGCACACAGGTAAAATGGGCAAAAATATTTATTAAAAGCTAATTTCCATAACTAATCTTGGCAACTCCTATTGAAACACACTTTCTCTTTTCTTCTCAAACTGATATGTGTAAAACTTTTTTCTTCTCAGGGTGGCCAGGCTCAATGAAATGTGGAAGTCTCTCTCACATACTGCCATGCAGTCATCTACCAGTCCAATCACTGAGTCAAGTGAGAGTTTACACCTCTGATGGTCAGAAAAAAGGTCCTGTACCAGGTCCTGAAGGAGCTGTGCACAAACCTGGAACAGGTCTGTGTGCTTTACATTTGTTTCGTGAATGTATGGGATGTGGTTCTTACCTGTTTTATATTTAAAAGGAGCACATATACTAGAGCATTTATTCAGCAAATGATTGTTAGTTTGCCTTGTGCAATTAAAAACAAATCACAGTGTAGAACTGCATGTATTATGCTACAGCTGCAGAATTTGGAAATAGTCAAACCTCCCTCCGTATATCAAGACTTCCAGTGAATGAGCATGGGTAAAAACTTAGATTTCCTTTTTGTAAATATATGTTAAACGATAAATGTTGGGGAGAGACAGGATGGCTCAAGGGATAGATAATGGGATGCCTCTACAGTTTAACAATCTGCCCCTGTTTAGTTACTTGTATACAATGAGTTGGTGCTAAAGATTGAATTGGCATAAAAATTGAACATGCTGATTAGTAGTAATTCCTTTCCCTCATGCTTGAGGCAAAATGGTGAGAAAGCTTAACCTGCTGTTTAAGCTGTTGATGTTCTGAGTATAGAGGATTTCATCCTGTAGAATTGTTAATCCGGCAATGTCCACAAATACAAAATTATGTAACATTTAATATGGTGGAGAAGCCCACAGGCAACTTTTACTGTTGTGAAACTGGATGGCCCTGGAATTCCTACTGGAGAACTCTTCCCTACAGTTGCTTGAAGGTCTTATTTTTTTTCAGTCTTAAGCCAGATGTCTCATATTCCTGGTAGGACAGGAGCACTACCAATTCTGAGTACTTCCGTTCAAGCTGGTGACGGCACCAAAGCGCTTCACGAAAGTCATCTCTGTGGGGGTGGCCCAGATGAGGCACAATGGCCGCACCATCTTCCTGTATCTAGATGATTGGCTACTAATGAGTAGATCATGTCAGGAGGTCCAGTTGGTGATCCTTGTCTTATTGCACCTTCTGACATCACTGGGGGTCTGTGTAAACAGAGAAAATTCCACTTTGTCTCCTACAAGGACTATAGATTTTTATCGGAGTGACCTAGAGTCATCCTCAGGAAAAGCCTACCTTATAGACTGATTTCAGGCTATTCATAGCCTGATAAATCAAGTCACCCTCAAATCTTGCACCACAATCAGGGTCTGCCTTTTCCTACTAGGCCATATGGCGCTGTGTACATACAAAACACTCAAGTATCAGAGGGGTAGCCGACTTAGTCTGAATCTGTAAAAAGCAACAGAGGGTCCTGTGGCACCTTTAAGACTAACAGAAGTATTGGGAGCATAAGCTTTCGTGGGTAAGAACCTCACTTCTTCAGATACAAAACACTGGTTGCCAGACTCTGCATTTGCTACCTGTAGGCCTGGCTTCAGTTTGTTTATTCAACAGACAAGGACAACATGAATACCAGTGTAACAATCCCACCAAAAGTCAGAGCCTCTCTCGTTTGGTGGATGAAACTAGACCAGGTACAAGTGTGAGTTTCCTTTCTTCCATCCATCCCTGACACAATCCTAATCACGGGTGCATCATTCATAATATGGGGACCACATATCATAGAATCATAGAATGTCAGGATTGGAAGGGACCTCAGGAGGTCATCTAGTCCAACCCCCTGCTCAAAGCAGGACCAATCCCCAGACAGATTTTTGCCCCAGATCCTTTAATAGCCCCCTTAAGGATTGAACTTACAACCCTGGGTTTAGCAGGCCAATGCTCAAACCACTGAGCTATCCCTCCCCCCAATCACACTACACATGCATGGTACGTGGTCCCCATGGGAGGCCAGATTGCATATAAATCTTCTGGAGATGAGGGCAATTTTTCTAGCCTGCAACATATTTTTCTCCCTCATAAGCTCTCCCCACATCCAAATAATGTCGGTGACGGGGCTTTTTATGTAAACAAACAGGGTGGAGAAAAATCTCTTCCTCTGAGTATAAATGAAGTGACTTACCTACCAGATGTGCAGAATACTCTGGCGGATTATCTCAGTAGGTACTTCTCCATAGACCATGAGTGGGAAATACACAATTCCCTCTTGACTGAAATCTTCACTGAGTGGATAACACCATCTTGGGACCTATTCTCCTCACAATCAAGCAAGAAATTCAACCTCTGTTGTTCCAGAGCATCATTAGGTTGAGACTCCAGGGATGATGCCCTTGTGTTATTCTGGATGGACCATCTGAGGCAGGGGTCGGCAACCTACGGCATGCGTGCCAAACACGGCACGCGAGCTGATTTTGAGTGGCACGCTGCCTGCCTGGTGAGAGGAGGAGGAGGAGGGGCAGAGGGGCCGGAAAGTGCCATGCTGGGGGAAGAAGCGGAGGAGGAGGGAAGTTTGGCTGCTGCAGGACCAAGCTTCTGCCTCCTGCCCCGGCAGGGGAGAGTGGGGGGAGGGGGATCTTTTAACTCAGGACAAAGGATCTTTTAACTCAAGGCAAAGGCAGGATCAGACATCCCAACCCAGACCTTAATCTCATGGCCTGGTAGTTGGATGGTCATCAGATTTGGAATGTTCATGGTCTGAGGCCATCCACACTATCCTTAATAACAGCAGAAAAATGTCCACTAGAAAATGCTGTTTATCTAAATGGAGGTGTTTCTATATCTGGCCACAACGGAATCAGTTATCACCAGAATCAGCAGGTGTCCTTGTCATTTTAGACTATCTTCTATCCTTCAAAATGTCAGAGCTTTTTTTTAAGTTTGCTGCCAGGTGGACTTTCAGCTGTCAATGCCTTTCATCCTCCAGTGGAAGACCACTCTATCTTACTCACCCAATTCAATTCTTGAAAGGTCTCATTAGGACCTTCCTGTTGGTGATGAAACCCACACCACCATGGGACTTCAGCTTGGTGCTGTCAGCTCTTACCAGATCACCTTTTGAATCAATGGCCACATGCTCCATGTCACACCTCTCCATGAAGGTTGCCATCACATTGGCTATGTGGGTGAGCAAACTGGGAGCACTCGTTTTAAACCTACAGTATGCCATATTTCATAGAGAAAAGATCTCCCTTCATCGCCGCCTGAAATTGATCCCCAAAGTTATTTTAGAGTTTCACATGAACCAGCCTCTTCGCTTACTGATATTCTGCCCAAAGCCTCCTCTTTCCAGCAAGAAAGAAGCTGCACTTCCTCCATTGCAAACGGATCTTGGCCTCTTCTCCGCAAAGAACAAAAGCAGTTAGGAAAACACGAAGACCATTTGTCACAATAGCAGAGCAATGGTGAGGGCATGTTATCAGCACAGAAACTCTCTAAGTGGATCTCTGGATACATATTTCTGTGTAATCAGTTGGCATGTATTTTTCCCCTGAATGGGGTGAGGGCCCACTCTGTGAGCACACAAAGAACCTCAATGGCATCTCTTTGAGAAGTACCAAGTACTTGATATTTGTAAGACCTCTACCTGGAGGTCCATCCATGTCTTTATGAAGCATTATGCTCTGGTCTAGGCTTCCTCAGCATCTGCAGCTGTGGGGACAGCAGTGTTAGACATCCATACCAACTGCATCCTCGTACCCTCCACTTATTTCAGTACTGCTTACCAATCAACCATGTGTGCAATATACATAGGGACCAGTGCTTGAAGAAATGGAGGTTACTTACCTGTAATTGAGGTTCTTCGAGATGTGTAGTTCTTATTTATATTCCACTACCTGCCCTCCTTCCCTTCTGCTTCATATCCTGTCTGATTCACGGTAAGAAGGAACTGGAGAGGCATCGGTCCACTCTGCCCTTTATGCCTTTAATTGCGAGAACAGGGAGAGCAACTGCTTATGTGCGGATCAACAGACGCTACTTGCTACAAATCTCCTGTCTCAGGCATGTGGAGCACATGTGTATTCACATGTGGAATACAGATAGGGACCACACATCTCCAAGAACCTCTAGTTACAAGTAAGTAATCTCAGTTTTTAGTGATTATGTCCTTAGGTAAGTCTGTCAACCTTTTTGAGCCTCCATTTCCCTATAAGTAAAAAATGGGATATTTTCCTACCTGACTGGGCATTCTGAAGATTAATTTATTAATGTTTAAAGGGCATCTCAACCTCTGTCCATCCAAAGATCAGCAGTTCTGAATTCTAATACTCCATTCTTTTCTTATTGGCTCATTGTGTTTTTTGTCAAGTCTCCAGAGCAGGGTAATATATTTTAAAAGGGTACTTAATGCTGTCTGAACAGTCAAATATAAATCTTGACATTTTGATGTGTAATTATTTTTTTCGTATGAAAGTTTATGGCATAACCTTTCATTAAATAATGTCACTGAGCTACGTTTTTGAACAAGAAAAAATTTATCTGTACAATAGAAGGTGACTTCTGGCAAACTGGAAGCAAATATGCCAGACAATCTTGTCTGTGTATATGAAGAACGATAGTTTGTCAATGCCCATTGTTTTTAAGTATGATGAGAAATGAACAGCAAAGAGTATCTTATTTATTTTGAACCTTTTTTTAACATTGGTGTTCTTCAGGCTATCCAGAGAGCAGGTAACACTTTTCAACAGGAAGAAAAGGGCTGAGTTATTTTTAGGCTTTTCCAAACTCACTTGCTGCAAGATTAGTGCAAATACATTAGAAACTGTTTTGTGTTTTACTGTTACCTCGGTCTTTCCAAAATAATATACTCAGACCATGTTAGACCTTCTTGGTAGTTCCTGTCATATCTAATGGCTACGTGCTTGACTTAAGAGTAGTTGTGTGGCCTTAGCTTCAAGAATATTTGACTTTTGAATAATTCAAATCAGATGTTAAGTCAGGAGCCTCTCATTAAGCAACATAGACCTACTTGAAGAATCCTTAAGGTCTTCTGAGTACTCCAAATTGCTTCAGTTTCAATAAAATTAGTTTTAATTTTGCTAATGACAGCAGATGTGTGGCAAACATCCAGTGCTAGAGTACTAAACACAATGTTAGATCTGTTATTGGAATCATAAGGATTTTATTCTGATGATACAGTGAGTTTAGATGATGATTTTCAAAATAAATATTCAGACATGCATTTGAACTATCTGATAGCTTGCATTTGGAATTTGAAATGTTAATATACTTCTGTTGTCCAGTTTCAACAGAAATTCATGACACAAGAAAATCTATGGATTTTGATTTTTCACAAGCTACTGTGTTCTTCAAAATCTTAGCTCTTTTGTTTAAAATGTTTCCAGGTCTTCAGATGGTTTTTAATCTGTAAACCAAAGCATTTGTGATATTTTCTGCAGACAGAAAATATACAGTTTTAGACTTCATTATCTTACTAATGGGGTAGTAACTGCAAACCTCAATTCTTACTGCTTACGGGTAAAATTTTGCATCAAGTTTGTCCAGAACTATAAAGATGCAGCTGAAAACATTTTGATTCATGACCATTTTCGAATAGCTTATAATACAGTGAAAACCCGAACAACTTTGTTGAATATCAAATTTCAACTTTCATTGTTTAAATTAATGTGTATTAATATTTATACATTATCTAATTCACATTATATGAGAATATTCACAAATACAGTACAATGAGCTAAAAGTGGTAAATTTTTAATTCACATGATAGTAATATAACTTTATGCAATTTTCTGCTGGCCTGCTAACAATAGTCTTTTATTTTATTTAATTATAATTGTTTACATGTATCAGCAGTGAGGGTTTTTTTATTTTTTTACAGCACGGGATACCAGCAGTGCAGGCCAAAAACCACTTTTATTGCAAGAGCCAATCCAAGTAAAAGGTAAACATGTATGTTATGTTGCAATGGTACAGTTGTTAGGCTGTGGTGTTTCCTTTTAAGGTATCTTTCCGACTTTAGAAGTTATGAGACTTGGAGGAAATCATCTTTGAACATTAGGAGGCCCATGAGTAAGTAGGAAGTGTGTAAGATAGTTTGTGTCTTGGGCTTACTTACATACACATTTGTGGAAAAACACTCACATATCAACTTTCCATTTGGTGTCTGTTTCTTTTAGAGAATGTCTTCTGAAAATAGTACTACTCAGAGATGGAGTGAATAATTAGAAATAGTGTTGCTGCCAAAAGTGTGGCTTTAACTACCACTTTAAGCTGATAAATCTATATATCAGCTGATGAACTATGATTTGTCTCCCTTCATCCAGTCTAGTATCTCAGCCTGTCTTTCATCTCTTCATGGATGTCCAGTCAACATCTTAAACTCAGCGTGGCCAAAACTGAGATTTTTGATCTCTTCCCCCACTCCTAGCCTCAAGCCCTCCTTTCTCCCCTTTCTCTTATCATGATGAGAAACATTTAAGAATGCTGCAGCTAAAACACCTTGGCTTGTCATTCTGACCGTGTCAGCCCCTTTCTTCCAGGGGTTCCCTTTTCACACTTGCTTCCTTGTCTTTAAGACCTGCCATAAGTTAACTTCAGCCTACCTAGCTGATATAACTTATTGTCATGTTGACTGCTGCCTTATCTCCACCAGTACTCCTAGTCGTTGCTACTTACTGGTCATCTTCTTCCTTAACCACCTCTGTGCTTTTAACTACTCAGCACCTTATGCATGGGGAAAAACTCCCTGATAAAATCTGAATTGTTGTACTTTATATTCCTTTAAATCCTTTAAGACTTGCCTCTGCTCAATACCTACAAAACTCAGGCTGCTGATCCTGGCTAGACAGGTGACACTCTGCCTGTTCCTCCTCTCTCCTCTTCTACTTCCTTACTCTAAGCCCAGTTAACACTCACTTCTCCCCTCTTCCCCCATCTACAGTACATGTAATTAACAAAGCGGTTCATTTGCTTGTATGTTCTGTTCATATCCTCTAACCTTCATCAGTTTGGGCCTATTGTTGCTCAGGAAAGGTGTGTTTTGTATAAAGAGATAGCTAATTTACTGTAAAGCAAACAGACCCACAACTTTTTCCTAGTGAAAAAGGGTGAGGATTCCCTCTTTTGTATTTGTATGATGCTCAGCTCAATGGGGCTGTATAGGTCTTTAGGCACAATTGTATCCTAAATATTTACTATTACAAATAGTAATGAAATAACAAAGCACTGAAAACGCTTAAAGGGGACGCTCTTCACCGTAAAATTTGTGTGATGTTTGGTGGGTTATATTTTAAAGAATTAAAAAAAATGTTTTTTATTACATTACTGTGGAAACTTAAAATTGACATTATTTTTCAAATTTGTCTTTTATTTTGAAATATTGAGTGGATACTTTGTGACCTTTTGCTAATCTATAACCCAAGATATTAAAGTTAATAAACTTTTTCAAGGGTTAGTTTAAAGAAAAAAAATTAAAGCATGCAAGAGCCATTTTCTCTATTTGACAATTGTTCTCTTCCATTGCACTGCCCAAGCAACTCTTTGGTAGTGTCCATTAGATCCAAAGAGATCATGATGCAGCACATACTATTAGATGCTGAAAATTTACTTTAAAACAGTGTTGTAGATTAAAAAACCCACTGGATGCCATAAATACACCAGAATTTTTGTAAATAAATGCTGAAATTTGTAATGCCTGTGGGTTACTTGGTGTCAGCTGAAACTTTTTGCTTCAAAGCTTCCAGAATTCAGACCAGAAAGAAGGCACACATGTTAACATTGAGGATAGTTAACCATTGGAACAAGTTAGCAAGAAATGTGGATTTTTAATCACTTGAAGACTTTAAATCAGGACTAGATATCTTTCTAAAAGATATGCTGTAGCTCCAACAAAAGTTGTGGGCTTGATGCAGGAATTACAGGGTGAAGACTTAAGACCTCTGTTATGGAGGAGGTCAGACTAGAATCCTAGAGGTCTCTTCTGGCCTTAATCTGTGAATTGTAAATTTTCAAAGATCTCTGTTCTCCTTTAATACACCTAATATCCTTCATCAACTGTAACTATTCTTTAATGGCAACCTGCCTAACATATTAACAAAAGTAAACTGAATAGTGATTTTAAAATTAAAAATCACTGTAAGGATGTTGTACTTGGGTGACAAGCAGCCAAGAATGGCATAACTGAAAGTAAGGGTACATCTACACTACAGGGGGGAGTCGATTTAAGATACGCAAATTCAGCTACGTGAATAGCGTAGCTGAATTCGACGTATCGCAGCCGACTTACCCCGCTGTGAGGACGGCGGCAAAATTGACTTCTGCGGCTTTCTGTCGGCGCTTACTCCCACCTCCGCTGGTGGAGTAAGAGCGTCGATTCGGGGATCGATTGTCG